GGGGGGGGGGGGCTGCCTTGGTTAGTTGGGCAGCCTGCTTTTGGCGGGGCCCGCCCTTGGCTCTACCGGCGGCACCTCGGCCATCCCCCCTCCCCCTTTGTCCTCCGAGCAGGGGAGGCAGGGAGAGAACGGCCCGGCACCACAGCCCCATCCTCAGCCCGAAATAAGGTGCGGATGACCTGACCAGGCCCAATCTGCGAATGGAGAGCGCCGACTCTGGAATGTGGCCCGGCGTGATGCATCCCGTGCCAAAAAAATGGACCCGGGGGAGGGTAGTCGCTAGGGAAAGCCATGTCACCGCCAGGGCGTGGGGCTGATGCCTGCCATGCATGGGCGGGCGCGGGAAGGACAACCTGGCCGAGGGGGGATCGGACTCCCTCTCGAGCCGCATTGAGCCGATCGGCCCCCCTCGAGCGCATCACCGAGCGATCACCGATACACACACAATGCCAAAGGGGGGGAGGGATCTGGCCCCCAGTTCCCGGCCCGTGGGCCCGATGCCGTGTGCCTGGCACGCCGCGACACCCACCTTGCCTCCTCTCAGAGGCCCACCTCGCCGCCCCTGAGCGCGCACCACCACGAATGGACAATCCGAGATATGCCAAAAAAAAAAAGAGAGGGACAAGGGCCCCCATGGCCCTGTGGGTGTCACACCACGCCGCACCAACAACACCGCTGAGCATGGAGAAAAAAACGGATGGCCCACGACAGCACGCATGAGCGGCCCTCCCCCCCCCCCGCAAAGGGTCAGTAGGGGTGAAATGCATGGGCTGAACAGGGGAACGAGAAAGGTGCATGGACCTGGTAATTCGGGGACACCCGCTTGGACTCCTCGAGTAGCCGGGTGAGCGGCTTGTGCACGGCCTCCGGCAGCAGGGGCCCGTGAATGCAGCCGAGGAAGGAAGCGAAGAAGTCCATGACAAGACAACGCATTCTGAACCGGACAGGCATGGTTAGCAGCAGAAGGGCGCCGGGGAGAGGGGGGGGAGGGGGGGGGGGTACAGTGTCGTGCCGGACAGGCGTACCCGCGCGGAGAGTCCATGATGGCCTTCTTAGTTAGCCAGTCGAGCATCTGCGAGCTCATGACAAACTCCAGGCAGGGTCCGGTGACCATGTTCTCCAGCGGCGAGGGTGGCAGGGCGCCAGGGGGGAGGTCACCAAGGTCGGTTGCCGAGCCGGCTGTCGGGGTTTGGTCGGGCAGGCACTCCTTCTTGAGGATGATCAGCATCTCGGACAGGTCCTCGGTCAGGTAGTGTTGGGCAACATTGTCGCCCTCCTCGCTGACGTTGTTGTAGCGATAGTAGTTGTTGACTGTGGAAAGGGTGTTAGAGGGGGGCGGCGGGGCGGCGGGGCGGCGGGGCGGCGGGGCGGCGGGGCGGCGGGACGGCAAGGAGGAGCGAGGAAAGGGGAGAAAGCCATCGAGAGGCGGGCGGAGCGGGGCGGACCATTTCGCCAGTGCTCCTTGAACTGGTCAATGGGGGAGAGGATATTCAGCGCCGTCTGGGCGATGCTGATCACAGTGCGGAGGAAACTCATGTTCGCTGTGGGGCGGGGGTCCGGGGGTGTCTCCTCCGGCCGGGGCACGGATTGGACACCGAGAGGGCGAAAGAAAGGCGGAGGGAGGGGCAGAGGGCGAGGGGGCGGGAAGGGAGCGGGAGA